TTGTGTTTATGCTACTTTTTAAAATTATATTAAATGTAACTATATATAAAATTACATCTAAACGTATGTATATTTCATTTCAAAGACTGGAGGACAGTAAATTTTGAAGACTCTGCCATAATCCCGTTTTCCTCGGTTTTCCTCCGCTTTAATCTACACAACCGGAAATGGACGAGCATCCTTACGTCAAATGCGGAACTTATGCGTGCATATAGCCCATTCCCAGTGATTCATTTTCTCAAATTCACAAGCTTCCAGGATCAATGCAGAAATGGAGATAGTGGTCACTTACAGACCGACTGAGTGACTGATTCTGAGTAACAAGGTTGACAGTACTGCCAATATTGCGGAGAGCGCATAAAAGAAGTGGAAGATGGAATTTAGTGACATTTATCTATCAAGCGGTGGTCTGCTTTTTACTCCCCAAAAGGGATAATGATGACATTAATGCTGCATTGCAGTGTAAGCGGTGTAGCGCCCTTGGGTTGAGAGGAAGAAAAAGGTTGTTGAAGAAGAGGAAGATGTGAAAGAAATTTTTACGAGCCAATATTTACAATATATGCCCAGTTTTCATGGAAGCTAGTCGTTAACATGTTCTCCCTGTTGTTTATTTTTTATTTTTTATTTTTATCAGCATTCAAAAATTTTTAAATTTCCCTTTAAAATATAACATATCTACTTCCTCTGAATTTAATTTGTAATGTTTTCTACAACAATCATGCAACAAATTTGATTGTACCAAATTAAATCCACAAAAATCAGTGTAGTCCTATAAATCAGTGCACTTAATTAGGTCTACTTGATTTTATTCGTTTTGAAATAATTTAATAATATCATTAATTTTAGTTAAATTAGTTAAATTTAGTTAGTTCAATTTATTGTTGAGAGGAAACCCCCTTAAGATGTGACATCTCGTTTCGAGTGGACCTCCATTTTAAATAAAACATTTAAATTAAAGTAAATAGAATAATAATAAATGTATTACACTTATATTACACTCATTACTGTATTAAGTTTAGATGCAGTTTTGCAGTTGTTATGTAGGTGAAAGCATGTATCTGTCTCCTTATGATGCACTTTAGCACAATTACTTAAGAGTATCCATAAATCTGTGAAAAGTTTCTAGTACAACTTAAGTTACAATACTTGAAGAAACAGCCTGTATTTTTAAGATGATTCGCACAACCATTTCTACGATCTGCTTACAGTATGACTTTGGGGAACGCAGCCCTGGACATTACATAAATAAAGTGTCATAAATGTGTCTTTAGTAGTTATTAATGTACAGTTAAGAGCTAAGCTCTTTCAACTCAGTTTTCTTGTTTTTACTAATTATGTGTTGAATTAGTCAATGAATTGGTCTGTAAATCTGCCCATGTAAACTATGAACAATTACAAGGTCTCATGGTATGCAAAGAAAGAGTAAAGACAGAGAAAAAGTTTGATGTGTCTTTAACCATGAGAAACGTTTTCCCTGGCTCACTTTGTGCCCTAGGTGACATAAACAAAGAAAAACATTCTGCTGCATTAATTGATCTTTTTAGGCATTTGACATTTTTGGATTATTGGGACCCAGTAATCCAAAAATGTACCTTACCTTAGGACATTGACATGACCCCATATCTCTATACAGGGAACAATGTCTATAGAGAGATACATTTTAGTGTTAGTTTCTCACAAAAATGTACTCTTAAAAAAAGACCACTCAGCACAGATCTCAGCTGAATGAATGTCCTGGATACAGCTGAGCGCGCTTTCACCTCTCTGAACTTTCCAAACAGCGAGACTAGCCCACTGATGTTGGTGGATACAGGCAGAGTATGGGTTCTTCCATGTCCTCTTGATCTTAGTATGAGATCGGGAAGAAATGAAAGGCTCATCTGAGTTGGTGGCTCTATGACAGGGGAAAAACACTCTCATCGCGAGCGATATCTCCCCCAACAAGCAGCCACAGCAGCTGCAACCTGCCTGCGGTGCGTTCCATAACACCAACCAACTCAGCATACACGGGGCGGGGTGGCTGAGAAGAGAAGGATATATCCTATTAAAACCACCCTCATCAGCCATCTCCTGTCAGCCATCAACCCTTTGTCAGCCGCCACATCGTCTGAGAGGATTACACCCCTCTCAAGGCGTTCAGCGGGCTTCATCTGGTAACCTGACATCCAGACACTGAACCGGCGAGAGCGGAGCGTTCACAAAGAAAAATGCTCACAATTTGTACAGGCAGTTCCCCCGCGTAAATCCACTTTCCTTAACTTTGTCTCATTCAGAGATCCAAACGGGGCTCTGAGTCTGTCAGAAGGTCTGAGATCTACTGTATCAGCACAGCAATCACATAATGCACACCAGACTAAGATTATTTTCTGAAATATAGTGACTTTATTCTTGTAATAGCCTTTTAAAACTTTATTTTTCTCAATATATGATGACTCCTCCAAATCTCAGAGAAGTTTATCTATATATATATATATATATATATATATATGTACTGAATGGAAGGCCAGCTGGCCAGCACCTGGAGCTGTCCTGGATCTATTCACCTGCAATAGCACAAAAATGATGTTTAGATAATAAAATAATGGACATCAACATAACTGTCTTTGATTAAATATATTCACTTTTGCAACCTGTTTCTTTATTGACTATTACAACTAATAGGTCTCCATCCTAGTTGTCCGTTCTATTCATTCTGTTTTATTTTGAAGACTTGTGCTAGCAGTATCTGTGTGACCTCTGTGCTTGCTGCATCTGTGTAACCTGTCAGACAGATTCAGTACTGGGCTTAAATGAAAGCCTAAAAGGTCCCCCTTCCAGTCATCAGAGTGCTTTGAGTATTGAAGTTGTTGAGTTTTATGTCCCTGGTGTTCTTTCATGCCACAGGGATAAAAAAAACATACAGTTGAAATTGTGAGTAAAATGTGTTTTATTTCTGGTTTAAAGTCAGTTTGTGAGACAGATTGAGTACTGGGCTTAAATGAAAGCCTAAAAGGTCTCCCTTCCAACAAAACCAAGCTCTAGAATGAGCCTAAACCAGATAAACACCAGATTTCACAGAATTTATTTTTGGGGCTTAGTGACTTATTAAGATGAAAAAAAAAGTGATTTTGCTACCACCCCTGCTGTTATGAACTGCTCCGAGACTGGGAGATGTAGATCCAAATGCAGCTTTAATATAAGAATAGTCGTACAGGCAGGGTCGAGAATCAGCAGACAGGACAATGGAGAATACACAATGGGAATCCAAGAAGCAGGCAGAGGTCAGGGCAGGCAGCAATAATCAAAATCCAAGAACAATCCAAAAGTCAAAAAACCAGAAAACAAACACAGAAAATGCTCAGAAATGCAGACAAACAGTACAACAAGACTTCGCCAACACTGAACGTGCACACAAGGTATATATAGACACACTAACAGGATGAGACACAGGTGAATGCAATCAGTGAATGAGGTACAGGTGAATGTGATCAGTGATGATGAGTCCGGGCAGTGAGTTCTGGGAAATGTAGTTTGTGTGAAACATAGTCTTATCTGGAGTGCCCTCTGGTGGCTCAAGAGGGCACTCCAGCTGGTAACCGTTACACCTGCACTGCTATCGTGATTTTTCTAATACTAGGGGTGTATACCTTAGTAAAAAACAATGATAGTATTTGTCCTCCCAATGAAACCCCACTGGCTCATGGACTATAAGAGTTTCTTATATTTTCCAGAGTCCAAGGGAGTGATCAATGCATTTGTGTCCTTACAGCTTGACTGTTGTAATTCTCTGTAAACATTGGAATAAGACTTTTGACTGGCACATTTGGCACCATTTCTCCCCAGTATTATACACAGCACAGCGGTCAACTCCTGTTGTTATTATTGTGATTTTTTTTTTTTTATAAATACACATTTTGATTTGATTTGTTTATTTTGATCATGGTTGTGAGGATTACATGGGAGTGGGATATCAGAAGTGATTGAACAGCCCAATTATGTTTGCTTCTCAGCGCTGCTCCATCCTTTAGGATCCAATCACCTCAACAATCACATCCATCACTGTAGACAACCTCTAGACTGGGCAGTGCCTGAAGACAGTCAGATAAGGTCAAACAGATTAGCCATCTGTTTGTGTGATTTAGGTAAGACACCAGTGAATTGCAAAGTGTTGGCATGTCTCATATTTTCTGTATCCTTAATGCCTCTGTAAATTGTTTTAAAAGGAATAGTATTTACCCAGAAATTTAACATGAATAATACACTGAGATTTATTACTTTCTTTAATGATGTGAGTAATACAAATTGACCCACAAGATAAACATAATTCCATTTTTATTCAATTATTTGCCAAACAAACTCATACAATTTTTCAGATTGAAAGAAATCCATTATTAAAAATCACAAGCTAAACAATTAAACTGTGATGCAGAAGAAAAGCTTTTTGGAAAATGTATTATTTAGAATTAGTCCCCCATTCAAATGAATACATCAAATTGTGAAATTCTGTCTTAACACATCAACATCAGTACATTTATACTATTCAAACCCAGTATTAACTGCTAACATTTTTTTTCTTACAAAGAATATTACATATACCACAAACAGAGTTAACATCAAATGTGGAATTAGATCGTATTGATTCAGTTAGCTTTTGATTCAATGAATTGATTGATGACACTATGATCACGGAGGCACAGTCTAAAGGCATGTAATCTATAAAACTGTGAAATCTATTTATAGCGCCATGAAAATTAGTTATAGTGTTGCCCTATTTCAGGCTCACATAGAGAATGGTATTGATTTTGAAGGCAACAACAATAACATTACAATAAAAAAGTCATAGCACAAATATCTAGATCATTCAAACAAAATTATTTAGACATACTGGACCACATGGCTGTTATTTCCCAGGATACCCCAGAGAGCCATCAAGCAATCATTTTTACCTTTCTTACTGTTTTGGCCTTGTTTTCTCTACAGCCTCAGCAGGTGTCTCTCATACCGTTCACTTTCTCATTTCCTTTTTATATGTTGCTCACTCTGCCCTTACAGCCCTGGCCATCATACCCTCATGTTATGCACATTTTCTTCCATTCAGAATTCTTCAACACACCGGTCTACAACTCCGCTCAAGTGCTCAACGTCCTCCCTGCTGTGAATAATCATCCCGTTCTCTAGAATTCACTCAGGGTGATTGATGTAGATGGATATCAAGACGGTACAAAAATGTGGTCCATATACAGTATATATATTTATATTCCATATGTGGTCCATATATATTCACATCAAGAATCCAGTCATCTCAGGAGCTTAACAAAAGCTTTATTTTACATGGAGTCTATTTACTCATGGGGGCAACTGTGTTGAGATCACATGACCAGCTAAAGATCAATATCAATTTCATCTTGGAAAAAGTTCTATTATTGGATACTTTTATTTGTGAAAAAAATTACTAGACTGCAAATAGGCCAACACCTTCCTCATTTCCACCTTCATTTTTATTACAATTTTCTTTTTTTAAATATTAAACATCACATTATGGAAAATCAGCTGCCTACACTGCACCATGAACTATAGCTTCCTCATCCTCGCTTTTAAGGCATAAGAAAAAAAGCAGTGCAGGCGATCCCATTTTCCTGTATTTCCCCATTTTCTCTAGCTTTCCTTTAGTTTTATCACATTCTATTATCCACATCGTCACAGACCCTCTATATTCCAGCCCGCTCATCTCTCTCTCTCTAAATGGTTCCCTGTAACTGATGGGTGTTGTAAAGCACAGCACAACACTGTCCACAAGTCCCTGGCCAAAGTTTCTCTTTCCTTCCTCCACGCATATTTTCACCTCTCACATTTCTGCAAAATTATATTAAGTTTCTTCTTGCACTTTTTGTGGAACTTTCAATAGGAAATGTTAAGTGAGTGGCACTAAAACCATGTTCTATTTTCTCAGATAGAGATGAAAAAATGAAAATACTGTAAAAATGAAATTTTACAGAAATGTTAGCGAGAGAATTCAATAGCTATTCAGTGGCATTTAAAGTTGGCATAAAAGTTGCTATAGTCTTTTTTTCCCCTATTGTGACATATAACCATGTAAAATAAAACAAGAAAAATGTAGGGTGGGGCTTGGTTTTGTACAATTTGTCCAGTATAAGCATATGCTGAAGCACATGTGCCATTTAAGTTTGCTTTTACAAGTCATTAAGCTCTTTCATCATAACTTGTGTGTCACAAGACTCAATCCAAGTGATCCACATTACACATTGCATTCCACTTAAATTACAGAAACTTATTGTACCAGGTTGCTGTACCAGGTGAGAATTTTACCATGACAAAAAAGCTATACATCAGATGCAAAAGTAAAAATGTGTTGGTTTACAAATTATTTATAAGATTTTTTGAGATTATAACAGTATTGTGCAAGGAACTAGTCTTTATTTATTGACAATCTAACATTAATCTGTGTAAAAGGGAATGCAATTTGTTGGTGTTTTACTGCCACAAGTGTTCATTTCAGCTGGAAACTTCAGTAAATTGTATAGGGTTTGGAGTTGTATAGCACATTTTTCCAATGAGCCTATGTTGCATATTCTATCATTGAAGACTCTCCTCTCTCTCTCTCTCTCTCTCTCTCTCTCTCTCTCTCTCTCTCTCTCTCTCTCTCTCTCTCTCTGCAAATTGCAAATCAAGGCAGTGTTTAAATGAAGCTACTTTAGAATGAGAGAATCAATCAAGCCTGTGATCCTGTAAGGCATTCTTCAGTTTTCACACAAGAGCACAGCCTTCTTTGTATGTGGACTGTTGCCAAGGCTACGGAATGGTGACACTGTCTTAGTGTGGCACAATCAAGAGTCACTTCTTTAACAATGTAGCAGTCACCACTTTGAATGTCCCTGTTTTGCGCCAGTGAATGAAATAAAATTCAAAATGGGATATGTCCTTGTGTTCACAGTTATTCCAGCGTTGGTAAATTACATCAGCTGGATATAAAGATTGTGTACACAACAGCAACTGTCTGCAGTCTGTTCCCGTCATATACGACATTGTTATATTTAATATTTAGATTGAGAAACAATGTACATCCGGATATACATTTGATATAATATGTTTGTATTTACACTGTTTCAGCTCATTGTTCATTGTTTTTGGTGTGTATTTTTTGCTACATACCCTCTTATAAACACGATAAGTGTCTCCGGTGCCAGTTCTGCAATGCACAAAAGCTCCGTATGGCGATTCAGTAGCACGAATATAGCAAATTATTGTAATAATAACTCAATATGAAAACATGCTTCGCTTCAGTGGTCTCTCCTTGGCTGAGAGAATAGAATCTCGACAGTGTTTAGTAAATGGTTTCTTTGATGACATTGGTGGAGAAGGTCTGGTTGCTGCAGATGCTGATAGAGTGTCTGGTGAGAATGCGCTTCTGCTTATTATGGCGGCAGGGCAGGATTAGGTAGTGAAGCGTGGAAAAAAAAATTTGGCGGTAGTTTGCCGAGACGAGGTTGTAGAGAATGGGGTTGATGGCCGAGCTGACGTAGAAGAGCACATTGGTGACCATGTAGAAGTAGTGGTAGAAATCGAAGAGAGCACTGTGGAAGAGAAAACATAAGTATATACTGAGAGAGATGTTGGTGCGCCATTGTCATGCATATAGATATTTGCACTCTTTTTGACACCTGAAAGCTCCAGTCAACATTTATAGCAAGTACGTATAAAGAAAGTTGCCAGTATGAAGGTGAGCAAATGTTCATTACATATGCCTTATATATCTTGGTTTTCTAGTATGTAGTCAGATTATGATAAATATAGGATCACATTTTTTGATGGTGATGATGATCTTCATTCAACCAATCTTTTTTGACCTTTAAATAAAGTAACACAGGCACACATGCTATATTGTGTATAATTTAAGTAATTTAAAATGATTTTAGATTCAGCTTGCTGCTCAACTTTCATAAAGAAATTAAAGTATTAAGCTTTGATTAAACCGGAAGCACTTTTTGCTAGTAAATATGACTCATGCTTAATTCAATGTGTGTATGAATGAGCATGTTTATAACATAAATATGTAACATAAATGTTTATGTATGCTGGCTGATTTTGGTGCACTATATTCAATGACTTGTTGTTCTGAAAGAGAGAGAGCAATTTTTCCCTAGTGTGTGGGAGAGAAAAAGAGGGATGGTTTTGCATAGTGATTTATGTGTATGTGGGTAATATTAATGTCAAATGCTTCGAATGGAGGCTGTGTTTGACCCACCCTGGTGCCATCTCATGAATAATAGTATATTCCTTGGATTCATGTCTCGTCATCGCATAAAAAAAGGAAATTAGATTTTGACTACACAGGGCAAACGTCATATTCATATTCATAATCCATTCTCCATTATCCCTGTGATATTTGATCACATCAGGATAATGGTGTGTATAGCAAATACACAGAAGACAAAACCAGTATGAATCTCTATCAGCTCAGCAAGAATATTGATATTCAATGAAACAATCTTTGCATACTTTGGCATACTATTCCTTCAAAAAAAAACCCTGCACTTCTGGAAATTGTGCCAAGCCAGCCAATCAGATTGAAGCTTGCTGTTTACAAAAAGCTCTTACAATTTTTGTGTGCAATATACATCATGCATTTAATAAACTGTCTATCGCCATTCATTCAATATGGCTGCCGTCGCATCATCCAGGAGGATGCTGCACATTGGTGGTGGTTGAGGAGATTCCCCTTCCATGTAAAGTGCTTTGAGTATCGAGAAAAGCACTATATAAATGTAATGAATTATCATTATTATTATATTATACATATGTATTCTTTTAGCTTGAATAGCTTTAAAGTATGAATAATGAGTATAATAATTTGCAATGCATTTTTAAAGAAGCTGTGAGTCATCTGGGTAAAGCTTTTAATGTTCTCCCTTAGGCAACATTGATGATGAGCCCAGCATCATCGAAAGCTAAACAGAACTGAGAAGAATCATTAATCTGACAGACTCTTCTTTTCATTATTTTAAAGAATGATGAATGAATTCAGTGGCTATGTAGGCTTTTGTGGAAATTCTACAGCATAACATGATTCTGCAGCGGTTTAGTCAATCATATTGAAATGTACACAAGCAAGAATCACTTGTCATGAGTCTCCTCTCAGATTAAATGAAAATGCATTTAATCAAATAAGTAAAATGTCAGGCTGATATTACGAGTATTAATCAATATTGTCCATATTTGTGTTTTTGTAAAATCCTGCTTCATCAAAACTTTAATGCTGGCTTTCCATAACATTTTCCTTTTATATGTCCACTCCTCATCTTCTGATTCTTTCTGCTTTACTAAAACATCAAACGTACTACAACATCAAGTACTGCCTCAGCTCACTGGCACATATTAAAGGACTCCTTTAAGAAAAAAAGTAACCCTCAACCTCAGATAAAAAGTACAGATGCATCTCATACCTATTATCAGCACACCAAACCACTCAGAACACAATATAAACTACATAGCAACACCGTAAAAACCACCCTAAATACCCTGGCAACTGCATAAAAAACACACAAATACCCCCCAGAACAGCATTGCAACACAGTAAATCTTCCAAGGACACCATAGCAATCTCATAGAAAGGCACAACTGCACATGCTTAAAACTACCCTGAACACTCTAGCAACACACAAAACATCTTAGAACATCAAAGCAACCACATAACAACACGCCTAAAAACATCAACAGACAACGAGCTCTCAGAAGACCATCACAATACGTATACGTAGGCCCATCTTGAAATGATTAACATGACGCTGTTCATCACTCACATAATAAATCAATGAATTTTCATAGAGAATGTCACAGGATTGAGTAACCTTTGACTGTAAACACCATGGGCAATACATTTCAGATAAAATATGATAACCTTAGAAATGAGAATGAGCTGGTGTTTTTTACCGTTTTTGACAATTGCTAAAACACAGTTCCTAACACTTTCACCCATTTTCTCACAACATTAAACACAATAACCAAACCCCCAAACTACATTCAGAAAACCCCTGACTCTTCAGGCAAAATCGAACAATCGGCTCAAAACCTTTTTGTCTTTTTACCTTTTTATCTTGTTTAGTTGTTTCCGACTCTTTGGCCATCTCTCATCATACACGAGAGACTGTCCATGAATTTTCTTTCCAATGTTTTCTTCTGGGGTAGGCTGCCAGGTCTTTCCCCAACCCATTACATGACTTGGAACTCACACACATTTACACCTATGGCCAATGGCATGTCCAATACACCTAACCTGCATGTCTGACTGTGTGGGGGAACACTTTGGACATGAACTGTGTTTTAGCAATTGACATGCAAACTCCACACAGAAAGGAGTCCTGGCTCAGCTGGGGGTTGATCTGGCGTCAGTGCCACCAAAACCATTTTACTTGTACTCAAAATCAAACAATGCTTTGCTTTCAGATCATTCACACAGCCAATATATAAACACTACAGATCATACAGACTCATTAGACACTATGGAAAGACTAATGGAAAATCTGGCTAATGGGACTAATGGAAAATCTGGTGTGCCAGATCCTGCCTTGACAACACTCCACACCTTACTTTTTCTCATCCTCATTCTCCTCATCCATCCCCTCTAACACATACTCTTCCTCCTCTCCCTCTCAGATTTTTTCCATCCATTGATGGCATCAACATTCAGTGCACTCTCTGAGCTGACTTAGATTTTGTAGTTCACATCATTAGAAACAACAACCACAAAGCAACTGCATAGAAACACACTGTAGTTTTTATAGGCAAGTACCATTCATATTTCTAAATCTAGTTGTCCTTACTGTCAAAACCAATGCATTTTTGAGCACGGGTTCAAACGTCATGCTTTTCTGGATATTGGAATTCCACTGAGGTGAACTGTGCATCGAATCATAAAAATGTCCCATCACTCATCAGCATATGGTTTGGGAAGTTCACGCAAGCTATGCGTGATAACCACAACATAAATCTGTACACATATACACGCTCACATGTTCAGATTAGTTTGCTCCGTGTATGTGGTGCTCTGTATGAATTATAAGCTGAGTGTAAGAGCATGTGTCACAGATTTATCGATTCACCCCTTGAATCATAGAAGAACTCTCCCAGAAATCTCTACCACCACCAGATGCATCATGATTTATGAGCACTGCTGTTGGTGGGTGCTGCCCAGAACAAAGCATTGATTTGTGGAGCTATAATGTGTGTTGAGCTGGCTACAGGCTATAACTTTTCATCTTTTGTGGCTTTGCATGTTATTTATAAGCTATTTTGTATGTTATTAATAAGAAGCTCATGGACTTCAGCAACTCTGTCTCTAAAAACAGAGGAATATCAGTCGTGAATTGCTGTTACACTTTTTGTGCATCTATACTCTCAGTGTGTGTGCATTATCCAATAAGAGTTGAGAGAATGTTTTACATTTGAAGTTTCATTTGATTTTTATTGTAATTTGTTACTCACGGTGTCCATTCAGTGGTATAGCAGTACATTAGTCTTCGAGCATGGTATGGCAACCAGCACACCACAAAAGCAATGACCACCGCACCTGTGGAGAATAAAATAAAAGAGAAATGGTAGGTAAAACATTCATAAGCAGTACTTTCACCTTTGTGCAGTTATATATGTAAGTCAACAGGTTTCAAGAGCACTGCTGGTGGCTTCGGCATGTAATAGTCGCATTTGGTAGAAACAGAATTTGTTTCCTGACAGAAATGATTTTGAACTCTCACTCTTTTCGTTTACCGATCCCATTTCAATCTATCAACCCCTTCAGGTCTGATCCGAGTCAAGCAGGGGGTGATTCACTCATCTCTGTTGTATCTTTGTATGAGGCTCTTGATTAGAGGCACAAGGCTATTGATCTCTTATATAGTGTGGGGCAGTGACAGCAAAATGTGCTTCCTCCCTCGGTATCAACTTCAAGTCCATTTCAAGGCTTTTAGATTTTTTTTCTTTTTTTTTAAGTTGGCTTCAACATTTTGGGACTTATTCATGAAATGCAAGCACAATGCATTTCTGTATAAATATAACCATTTATAAGGAAGTGGTCACACAGTTAAATGTGACAATATACATATGGATGGCTTCATGAACTGTTTACAAAGCAATTTGTTTAGCTTGTTTGTCATAAATAAAACCTAATGGCATTCTGGACATTGAGTATGTGAATGTTAGATTCATAAACAGATTTCATTTTTTTCAAATTGCTTACGCACAATTTGTGAAACTATTGCTTAATTTATTGAAAACATGCACATAACATGCAAAACATCAGACATATCTTGCAAAAGCAAACACATCATTCAAAACTATTTTAACTCTCGTGTTCTCTTGTGTAACTCTTGTGTAAAATTGTGACATCTTGGATGACATGGGGGTGTCAAGTTTTTTTAAAAGTGAACTACTTCTTTAACTTTGGCTGTGTTAGTTGGCCCTATGGTACAATTAAACATTTTTGCGGTGTTGTGGAAGCTTGAAACTATAATTGTTAGTAAAAAATTGGGGGATACATTTTTACCTATCCACTGACATAAACCTCATGACAAAACCAATTCACCAAAACAATGAACTGTTTAGGGCAAACTTGTAGCATGTTTCTGACTTAACAGTTCAAATGATCACATTCACGTTACGGAAAATATTAAGTTATTAGCATCAGCACCATTACTTTTACTTCCCAAAACTGGAATTTTGTCTGGAATTTCAATATAATTCCTGTAAAAATTCTATTACATTATGGTGTGCAGCGAAATGGAAAATAATTTGTTACAGTATTTACAAGAATATCAGCTTTAGGTGATTTCAAATCAGTTTAAAGAAAATCCATTCAGCTCCACATATTGTTTATCTATCCGTGCCAAAACAGAGAAGTGCTAAAAACACAGCCATTATTTTTTTTCTGGATCATACTAGTCACCCATTTGTCACCCAGATGGTGGTTTAAATGGATGTGTGTGTGTCCGAAGGAGAGAGATTTATGGAGGGATTCCTCTTCCCTTTAAAATGTCAGCAGAAATGCTCTGCTTTTGTGAATTATATCAACATCAGACCTTCTGTTTTGATCTTTTTTTTTTGAACGATTAAATCTTGCCCATGGTTTTTCTAGTTAGCCAAATCGAATTTGTTTTTCCTTTTTTGAGACTAAAGTAATTAAAAGATAAAGCCCCAGAGAGGGAGGCTGGAGACAGATAAATGTTGCATGGTCTCAGCTTGATTCTTTTAAAAATCTGTCTCAGTTATCGGGGGTTTCCACCATCAGCAATCACTGGTGTAAGTGTTGCCCTTTCTTTTGATCATTTTATTCAGTTACATGGAAATATTGAACAGTAAAATAATTACAAGAGCAACAATTGCTTATCAGAGGTCTCTGCCCCAGTACATTATAAACTTTTTCCTTTGATAATGTAATATTATTGTAAATCCTCCTCTGCTCATTTCAGCCCACAGCAGTGCAATGCCGACTGATTTAAGCATTTTGTCTGTAACACTTGGACTGCAATTTATTCAAATCCCTCACCGACACTCTAAATGATCTTGTTTTCTTTGATTAATTTAATTTTCTTCTCATTCCACCTGTCTATCTCCTTATCTTATCACTAAAGGGGCAGTGAATGAGTAAGTCACCCTATATCTGCAACGTTAATGTGTCAGGACAATGTTGGTGCAGAGAAATGGATGAAATTTGTGAATTTCAATATATTATTTTCTGATTAGCTTTTTTGGGTATTTGGGTACACACATGATATATGATGTTTGTTTTTCAATAGTCAGTCAGTCTTTATTCTCAAAGCCCGGCTGATCCCATTCCTCACAATAGCTTTGGATGTATAAAGAAACATAAATACAGATCAGCGACAGATCTCACAAGACGATTAGGCTTCTACACAGCAGCAAAAACATGGACTGTACTGCATACAAACACATTGGTTGCCAACATAATAATGGTGCATTTTTAGTGTGTCTCAGGAGCCAAGTGAAGAAAAAAATAAGCTTTTCTATCTCATGTCTTTGTACCAGTATGTGTTGTTTTCATTTGAAATCAGTAGATGCATAAATAAATTTACAAATGCCAAAAATCTTACCGGGTGCCATGCTTTGCTAAGACCTAATTAGTTCTATTATTTTAGGTTGTGAATATGGTAATTAGGCAGTGCTATTGAGTATTTTGTCCATTAAAATGTGCCCCCAACCCACTTTAATTCTTTGGTGGGGTCAGTCTCATTTAGCAGATTTAAGACTCATTAACAAACTTGAATTATTCATGCAGCTTGTGTATAGCATATTTGTAAGAGAAACAGCAAATTATACAAAATGGTGCATTATCTTATGCGAAGCAATTATTAGCATTTGAAAAGGACCAGAGATGGTACTTCCTCTTCTCAGTCAGAGGAACACTTCCTGTCACAGTTCTTGCGCAGGGTCAAGATGAGCACCTAATCACATTGCAAGCCAATGAGAATAGATTTTCTGTATTTCACTCTCTCTTACAAAAGTGAATCCATCTACTCTCTGTCTGTCTTTGTTATGAGTTTAGTTTATGTTTTTGTCTTGTTTCATGCGTTACAGCTATCCGTCATGTTATTAGTGTTCCCATGTGTTTCCCATTAGCCACCCCCTCTTGTTTTCTTCTTTAGCTTGTCTACCCTTGTATTTAAGTCGGTGTGTGTCATGCAGTCTTTGTTGAGTTCTTAATGTTATGAGGCTGGTTGTTCAGTTCCTAAGTCCTGTTTCCTGTTCCTGAGTTTTTGTGTGTGTATCTGAATTTGTGTATTACGTAAACAATACTGCAAATGGATCCTACTGCCTTGTCTGCTTCACCCGGCCGTGACAGTCTTAGTTGTTGTTTTATTCCGTCTCTCCTAAATGCTGTCCTACAGTCAGATCCCATCCTTCGGGACATTTGTATTTTTTAAATACAGAGTCACCGAGATGATACGGAAAGAGATATGACCTCAGCAGTGAAATTCCCCTTAAAAAGTTTTGGAAAAAATGCTATGGTATCTTAACAACATTAAACATAACTTGACATGTCCCAATGCATCCTGAAGTGCCAGCTTCATCAGCCCTGTGAAGGCCTAATGGACATGACAGCCATCGGCACTGATCCTCAACAACTCGTCTCCATACTGGCGTGATTACTTCAACTTCCAACCTGATGGAAATGGATAATGATCCGATCAAATCTGACTTGTAATGCTGCCCTAATCATACACTGTCCCTTTGTTGGCCAGAGGAGAACTGGCCCTCCAACTGAGTCAGGTTTCTCCCAAGGTTTTTTTCTCCATTGTGATGGAGTTTTGGTTTCTTGCCACCTTTGCATTGGCTTTTGGTTTGCTTAGTTGGGGACATTTAATATTCAACAATATTATTGATCTGCCTTATTGCCTTTGGACTTTTCTTCTAGAAACAAACTTTGTTGTATTATGTTCATGCTATCACTGTGAAGCTGCTTTGAGACAATCTGTATTGTAAAAAGGGCAATATAAATAAAGGTAACTTGACTTGACTTGACAACTGGGTTAACTAACTTAAGAGCAGCACAGGGTCCTTTAAACCGGCACCTAAAATAAAAATAGAAGAACTCTGCCACTGTGAAAGGAAATATCTGCTTTTAACATACTGACGTGGTTGGAAATTAAATACATTTATATCCAAACTGCAGGTAACTGCAGTATTTAAGACTTTGTGTGGAAGTGGAACAACTTATTCATATTGTTGTTACAAAATATAGTTACATAATTCCTGTTACACGTTTACATACTGAAGTGAGAAAGTGTTGTTACCAATGTCCTGTTAGACATTTGAACTTACATATACCACTCCGAGGGTTGTTACATATGTGTATTTACACAAATAAATTGCTGTAGTACCAATGTGTACTTACACTGTTAAATATGTACACTATAGTTACCATGTAAGTTCACATGTATTAGGGCCACTTAATATAAAGTGGGACCTTTATTTCAGTTAGGTTCAAAGACAACATTTATATATTTTTTTATCTAATATTTAATTTAATTTTTATTTCAATTAAAAAAATAACAGATTTTCACAAGATTTCGCTTCAGTTAACAAAGACAACACTAATGAGATGTGTATGTTCTGTGGTTGTATGGTCCTAAACCAGCCTACAAAACAGAACGTCACCATAACTTGATCTGAAGAACTTGACTTCTCGAGACATCTCACTAAGTGCCTGCTTTGGATCCAGTTGAAGAATGAAAGTGAGTAATTCAGTGTCTGAATTTTAACAGCACTCGTACAAATTCAAATTCAGTTGCCGTAGAAGCGAGTTGAGCCAACGTTAGATACATTGAGAAGACTGGATAAAAGTGCTGCCAACTCTCTCTGACTCTGTATGACCCTGCTGGGCACAAGAAAGTGCCCTCATCAGATTTGCCTAAATTAGTCTTTTAGTCTGCAATTTGCAGGCTCTTACATCAACCATGGCTCACCTCACCCACTCATGCTGTCACAGTGACAGATTGTGTTTTATGGACAAACTCTGCAAGATCTATCAGTGCATGATAGGAAACGGTAATGGTGAGGATATAAGGTGAACAACTTATAATGGTAAATGGAAATGATTTTGCATTTCAGTTGGGAAAAAAACACCTAAAGGGGTCCTATAGGCCTATGTCACACTTCCTGCTTCCGGAACGCGGAATAGGGATACAGAACTTCCGGTCAACAGGATTTCTCGATAAGGATTTAGATTATCAGCCTTAATGTCTAAACCATCCGAAGTAGACTGACCACGAGTTATGAGGTTGTGAAACGAAGGTTTTTGCTCCTGTTGAAGCTATACGTTTTTATGAAATCAACCTTGTTTAAAGAAAAACATGTTTTATCCGTGATCTTACGGGAAAAAAATACACAATCCTGCGTAGTAACAACGTCTGCTGATTGGTCCAACTCGCTGTTACCATAGAAACGTTTACCTTACTGGCGAACGGCTAGAGCTACCCGCAGCTGTTGTTGTGGTGTACGGGGTCGCTCTGCATCAGGACGTAGACAGCCATACCTCAGCTTTCACGTCTTTCATGCTTTCCCACTTGAGAGTTTTCATTTACTATCCGAACCACATCGTCATATGTGACTTCAGGCAGGTTGCGGAGAGATTTGGTCCAGCGGTATCTATCGGACTCCACCACTGTAAAAAGCTTACAGGAAGAGTCGTATCCCTACTAAAAGACTTCTGGTTTTAAGTTTTTTTTTCGTGACATAGGCCTACTATGCTTTTCTACTTTGTTTAACTTTAGTTAGTGTCTAATGATAGTGTTTAAGTAAAAAAAAAAAAAAAAAAAAAAAAAAAAAAAGCAAAGCTCAAAGTCCTCTCCAAAGGGAAATAATTTATTTAATAGAATCCACTTTTCAGGAACTACAACGAACGTCTCATGATTAAATGGTGGATAACATTGTATCTATAATGTATAAGATAAACATACACCTCTGAAACACCCTGTGAAATCCGTGCTTGCAAAGTCTGTGCGTGCCCGTTCTGGATGATCCTCTGTTTGTTAAACACAACATTGTCAGGGTCTGAATCGGACTTGAATTGGTTTGAAATTGCTTGCTGTTATGGAGGGGACATGTTCTGAACACGTGCTAAGCGGTGCCAATCACAACACACTGGGCCAGCTAACCAATCACAGCACATTTCATATTTTGGAAGGAGAAGCTTCATCGAAAAAGATGCGTTACACCATGATAATAATATTTTTATTATTATAATTACCAGCTGTAATAATGTAAAATATGTGAAAAATAATATCTTTTTTGAACAATCAAGCATGAAAGCATATTCTACACCCCCAAAACAAATTAAAATTCACTTTGTAAAAATTATAAGGAGACTTGAGGTTTAAATAGACATGGCACTATGGGACGATAAACGTAAAAAATCTGTAGATCGTAGTTGTGACAGGCTGGGTTCTGGGTCGGGTTGTGGCTGATGTATGGATCGGGAGTAGACACTCTCAACGAGTCTCGAATGGCAAAACTTCATGGTAAAGACATTATGTTGACTGTTTCGGGCCAACACAGCAATTTGCAATTGCAAAATCGGTCCAATCTTTTTAGGTCCAGTCTTCTGTCAGCAAGGGTTGAGGACAGGCACACGAAGATGACAATTTAGGTAAATTGCTTCAAAGATATATCAGGGTAACAAAAGAAACACAACCGCAGACAGACACTAATGTAAACGTAGACCGGGCACGAATTTATACTTATATACAGATGGGAACGGGGTGAACACAGCTGAAACAAATGACAAATCATATTAGTCCCCATGATGATGACATACAAAGGAAAACAGACACCAACGAATACTAAAAGACTAAAAGTCCAAGAAAGTGAAGCTAAGAACAAACATAACTAAATATCCATAACATTTCTGACCCATTTTAGTGTATCTGGACTGTGTCAGATTGACACTCACCTGGCACCACCAAGTCTACGTTAAAATTGCCCATTGACACCTTTACGGCATGAGTGTTTACCCAAACACAAATAAAATAGAGCTCGACCCGAGACTCCAAGAGATCAGTATCTCATTAAAGCCTCCTTTCTGCAGAGAAAGGAATGCCAGGTCATCATAGAGAAATCTCCTCTCTTCACACACACACATACTCGGACTTCCCATTAAACTCAGAATATGAGCCATTGCCAACTGTATATGATATTTTCCTATATGTTTGCATGTTTCCCAGTTCATATTAGGCCAGTTATGATGTACAGGTAATTTGAATCTATGTATGCGATTACTGGACATATTCATGACCAGTTATTAAAATTATATTCCCTTTATTTGAGCTAAGAATCGCTACACCACTTAAATAGGACTTAAGTCTTACTGGCCTGGTTTCACAGACAGGGCTTAGACTAAACTAGGATTAGGCCTGATTTCAATTATGACATTCAAGCTTGCCAAACACAAATCATTAAAAAATAATGATTTAAAATATGCTTTAAGGTAAAACTTTTAATTTGCTTTTTAAAACTGTACTTTGGTGTGTTTAGAAATACTGTGATGAAACTTGACTCTATTTAAATAAAATCCCTTTATTTCATTAAGAGCTCAGTTTTTTATTTAAGATTTGCAAATTAACACTCTACTTTACCACCCAAGGGAAGGAAATGATAGTACATTTCAGTGGCGATATAAAGCCCCTTGCTTTGGGCTTTTGGTGTTTGACATGGATTGCAGTGTAACTGCATTTTGTCTTGAAATACTGCATTTCATGTCGTGTAATTCCCTCAGGCCATTAAATCATATAGGTTACACTTAGTACCCTTAAGGAGCTTCTGGCAGAAAACCACATCAAACTGTCTCTAATGATACAGTAAATTAAATGAACAGCAATGATTGTCTCCCCTATGGTGCTGAAAGCTGCTGTGAGAGCAGTCAAAAGTCTTACACCGCTTCACTGACCCTTTAATGGAGGCTGCAGTCAACTGGCAAAACAAACTAACTCTGGATTCTTCCCTGGTGTACATCTTGACTGCATCATAATGGAAAAATACATGTTCTTCTTGTTTAAGTGATTTAAATGACTTTGCAAATTAAGTGAAATTGAATAACTGTGGCAGTACATATTTTTGCTCCCGTCTTTCAAACCATTAGACCAGCACAAACCTTTTTCTAAATCCAAACAACAGGATAAAAAACTGACCTGTTTCTGGACAAATTCAACCATAGAGGTTGCATTGAAATACATGAGAGAACCAAACCCTTTTTAACTTTCTGTTCATCAATCAATAAAATCAGTGGGACTCACTCTGCACAACTTACACGTTTCATGATAATAAGGACACACACAGACACACACACACACACACACACATTCCCTAACAGAATGAAACCAGATGGCAAGTTTGTTTCAAGGTTTCGACAGAAACTCTATCATATATGGATAAATTGAAGCTGTAGCTCATAGACAATGAAGACTGTTTGTCCTGCAGGTGTGGGTGTTTTGTGGTAGTCTGTGGAGGTTTCCAATTTAATTGAATGACAGATTCCCAGCAAAATCCCCACCACTAAGACATAGAACATGGCTCGGCAGGCATAAACGGTTTTATTGCACAATGAACTTTTACTTGTCCAAGCTGTCAATGGACCATGGTAACAGTTGCTTCATGTCATGTTGAATTCACACACTTAGCCAATTAGATTCGAGATCGGCTGTTGCACAACTTTACGATGTACAATTCTGCATTCAAAAATTTGGGTTCGATACATTTTTCACTGAAGCTGCATTTATTTAATGAAAAATAGAGTAAAAACAAAAAAATTGTGAAATATTATTTACAAATTTAAAATAACTGTTTTCTAATTGAATATATTTTAAAATTTAATTCCTAGTGGCTGAGAGAGCTCAATGCGCTGCAACTGAAGAAAACATGCAAATATAAAAAATAAAAATAAAAACGCATGCAAGTAGAAAAAAACAACACATGCAAATAGAACAAAAACACCCGCAAATTAAGAAAACAACTTCTTCAGTTCTTCATCAGTCACAACACACGTGTGCTGCAAATTCTCACAACACCACCAAATACAGAAACGCACTGCAAAAGCTCACAACACAAACACAGAAACGCGCTGCAAACACAAACCACAACAGAAATGTTTCCAGGGGAACCACATAAGTGACGAACCCAGCTGGGATGTGCGGACGTGCTGGTGCTTACAGCTTAAAATTATACTTTATTTATTTTTGCAAAAAATACAGAGATTACATTTTTTATGATACAAATTGTATACAATGTATTAAATGTATTAACAATATCTTATTTAATATCAGTGTTCGACTTCTGTATACCGCTGATTGCATACATTGTAAATTAATTTATAATATTATATTGTACACTTTAAAAAAACATAAAGGTACTCACGCAGCACCATGACTCCGTGGCGCATTGATTGGGCACGATTGGGTTCAACAGCAACGCTAAGCATGGTAGCGTTGCCTCCGCTGATAGAGATGCGATTGTCCTGGGCAGACTCCCGAAACATGCGCATCAGCTGACTGGCTATGACTCCATTTAATGCGGAGATCAGTGCCATGGGAACCACAAAGGACAGGAAGGCATTCACCTTGAGGAGTTATAGGGAACAAAGGAAAAGAGGGAATAAGTAGGCAAGTAGCTTTGACTTTTATGATGCTTTTTTGTTTGACGCAATGACTCTCGCTCTCACTCTTTTTGTAATTAAATTAAATTTGATGTTTTTATTTAATGTCACACTGTTTATGGTGTGCCTTTTTTTTTAGACTTGTGTAGACCCTGAAGAACTGCACAATCCTATCTCCATTTGACAAGACCTGCTGGGGAAATGTGTATGATAAAAGCCAGGAAGTCAGTTGGATCGAATTTTTTAAAAGAAATCTCCAAATTTTTATTTTATCTAAAGCAGCACTGGGCAGAACATTTGATCATTTCCTGGGAGTCGAACCAACGAATAATCCTAATGTTTTTTTTTTCTAATCAGTTACTGTATGTGTGCACAGTGTCATAAATATTTTTGATGTATTCTTCAGAAGGTTATCTTGATATGCTGTATGCTGTATATTCTTTCCCCTTACACAACCACTAAACCTACCCATCACAGAAAACTTTCTGCATTTTAACCTTTTTAATACAAAATTGTTTAGTATGTTTTTAGGGCATTTTAATAGGCTACATGCACACAGCGACGATGATGCACTTCTGCTAAAATCTCCGCAGCTATACCACTTCTGCTATCATCCCGCTGCAGTGTTTATTATGTCACAGATGAAGTTTAAATTTCATCGCACGGATAGCTCTACAGCTGAGCATTGCTGTGTGCCTTTGTGTCAGGCGTCTAGTAAGTACAAAGTACTTAGTTTTTTATTCATTTCCCTCTGATGTGGAAATCAGGCGAAAATGGCCTGTCCAGAGAGAAAACTTTACGGTTAGCCCACATACTCGAGTTTGTAGCCGGCATTTTATAAAAGGAGATGTTCGTGAGCCCTGAACCGAGACAGGGAACATCAATCAGCTGTATACTGACAAATTATGAAAATGGGCCTCTTGTAAAGTCTTGGGCAAAAGCCAGATTAGGATTTTTTTTTCAGGGTAGAGCTAGTTGGAGACTGACACCACATTAGACATTTGCCTAAATGAAAAAAATCAAGTACATAACTTGCATTTTTAATTTAGGCAAATGTCTAATGTGACTGCTGGGCTTTTTCAAAAGATGGATGAGGTGTCGGCCTCCAATTAGCTCTACCCTGAAAAAAAAAAAAAGCCTAGCAAAGGATGTATATTGACTTGAGGACAAAAATGCCATCTATTCTATGTATTCCTGTAAATAGCAATTATCTGTATATACTTACATGAAATGTCTTTCTATGTTGTGAACATTGTTTGAATATTGTTTTATATAGATATATTCACATTGTTCAATTGGACTCACTCAATTATTTACACCTCGCTGTCAGTTCTGCTCACCTACCTTTTCTATAACAATTACCATACTTTACTCCAAAATACTCAATCATTTAGTTTATTAACAGTGTTAACAATGTAAATCGGATGACACAATAGTGCTTTATAAACAAGATTCATAGGTTTTAAATGATCATACCACGACCAGATTCCAATTACCTTAAACAAATACATATTTAGCATTCCATCAAAGAATGATTTGTGACTGTATGATCGCAAATCAATAAAAGGATATACAATAAGGATAACAATTGAAACAAACATTTAACATGTTTTCAAAAAAAGAACAGATTTGTATCACAAAAGGGTTTGGCAGTTTGTGCAGCTTTTAAAGATAAATATTAAATGGCTAATATTAAATAAAAAATCATAAATGTTAAAGAATTTCCAGTCAGGGAAAAACAGGAATTAACCTCTCAAAACTTTTTAAAACACTTGTTACAAACCCTGGGTGCGTCAGGGCGGATCGGAAACCCACAGGGATAGTGGTTCACCTCCTTCACTCTGCAGTGCTCCTCCACAGCTGCTGCTTCCAAGTCAAGTCCACTCCTCATGTCTTCAGTCGGATGACTAGGCTTGAGAAGTCTTTTCACTAGATTTTCTGCAGAGCTCTGTCCCCTGGTGTGACAGACCTCTCTGATTTTGGAAGTGGTGATGCGGGGCCGCCACTCAATGCACATCATGTGGAGCTGCTGATGTTCAGTCAGTGCAGACAAAAGAACAAGTAGAGGGTCCCAGACTGTAATTATGAAGTGGCAACTGGGGGGGAGAAGGGGCATCTGTGTGTGGGCAGGTCTTTGTCATAGTCTTTGCTGGCATGTGATACAATAACACACTTCCTTCTTGCATTTTTCCAAATACAGAGTCAACCAGAGGTACATAATTGGCTGTCACCATTGTTGTTATCAGTGGAGCCAAGTCACTGGGAATGGTAGACTTCATCCACCCAGAGTGTGGAAAGTTCAGGCAGAGGTGAACTGACTCCCTTATACAAGTTGCTCCTATATAAAGAAAGAAAGAAAGAAAGTAAGAAAGAAATAGTGCTTATTGTTTGTATAAAGTAAGTTAAGCATATATTTAAATGAACAAACATTAATGTGAAAAGGCTGAAATACAATGTATCCTATAATTTAGCACATCATATGAATGGGACATCAAATAAATTATATTAAACATATAGCCTTTAGCAGTACTTCATAGCATGATTCACAGAAACTCGATTTGACGAACAAGAACCTGTCTAATGAACTAGCCTGCGCTGAACCTGCAGGATAACTTTCCCTTATGGTCAAACTGTGCGGCTTTTGGCTTTTCCTCATCGACCTGTAACACTCAGGCCTAATTGTTACTTCTCCTATTGGATCCTTGTTTGAAACTGAGATTGACAATGAAGTAGATTGAAATGTAACAGGTAAAGTTAGAGAAGACAACCATACAACGTTAGCAGCAACATGCCTATGATATCACTAAGCTAGCGTTAGCTAGTACACAAACAATATCCGACCCGATCTTACCTTCATAATTGTGGACATAGCTTGACACATAAAGTTTGAAGACCTTCTCCTTTTTAGTTGCTGATGTGTTGCAAAGTCTTTGAATTGATGACCGCAAGTCTAAATCCTGAAGTGACCGAGTGAAAAACGCCATAGCAGACGTAGGTTGTGCGACCACCGGAAGTGACTTAGCTGGCTGAGTTGGAATGCGAAAGAGAATGTGAGTATAGCCTATTACAAGGATTCAGGAAATGTACCAATAAATCACGTTTACATTGTAATACCACTGTAATACCTATGTCATTATACATATTTGTGTCCAAATAAATCATATAAAGAAGCACAGACACACACACCGAAATGCATAATTATTACTGCATGGTATGCAGGGCTCTTTTCTTGAACTGGTCACATTCCTAGATCTGTCATTAAACTGCCCTTTTGTTCCTTTTCTTTTTCTTTTTTTTTTCTTTTTCTCCGGTTACCAAAGCAAGTTAATCTCATGTGATCTGACAATTAAGATCACAGAGATTAAGCCAAGACTATTAACATTCTCCTTAGCACTAATTTAGAAGAACATAATGTTGCTTTAGGCAGTCATGATAAATTGGTGTTGAACAGATGAATTGAGTTTAACAGGCCAGCACTGTTCCTTCCAGACTGAGAAACATAAAAGAGATCAGAAGGAACATATCAAAAAAACCATTGAAGGGTAAAGAATATGTGAATATCTAGAGTCATTTAATGAGGAAGGTCAGAGATGTTAAAACTGAAGAAAAAAAAAGAGAAAAAAAAGGCTCGTTACTGCAAGGTTGAACCAGAGCTATTAATTAAATTTAAACAGGGCTAAAGCAAACACTTTTTAACCCATACAAGTTAGTACACACACATTTGGAGCAGTGAGTAGCGAACACACACACACACGGAGCAGAAAGCAGCCATTTGCTGCTGTGCCCGGGGAGTGATTTGGGTTTAGGTGCCTTGCTCAAGGGAACCTCAGTCGTGGGTATTGAGATCGCTGTTCATTCACTCCCCCCACATACATTTTCCTGCCAGTTTGGAGAGTTGAAACCGCAACCTTTGAGTTACAAGTCTGACTCTGACTTAGAAATATTAAAACTGTGTTAAGATGAGACAAGTATAATGCAATTGATAACATAACAGTTTAGACATACAGTTCAATATAGTATATCCAAATCACCTTTATTCATTTTAATAAATAAACAAGTTAAAGATGCCTATATATAGTTGACGAAAAGCAGAACATGAAAAGTATGTCTGATTCATATGCTGCATCCTTAACTCATAATTTTAAAACACTTTTTATGTAAGCATTTTTAAGTTGTGTAGCTTTAAGACCTTAATGGGATAATTATTTATAACTGCAGGCTGTCTTACTAATCCTGTTTGTAGATCAATGCTCCCACTGAGAAAAAATGACAATGCAGAGAAGAATCCTTTGTGGGTTTATGAAGACACACAAACAGAAGCAAAAGTAAGATTTCTGTCTGCATTATGTAAAGAACCTATGGGTACATTGGCAAACAAATGTAATTTCTTTAGAGATTCTTTGGCTGAGTTCAGTACATGCAAAGGCCAGACCTAGCATAATTGATCTAGTCAGAAATGTATCATTCGGATATGGCAAGAAGTCAGTCACGGAAATGTCATGCTTTAATATTTATTGATTTCCCAGACATCATAGATGGAATTTTATGCTGTGACCAATTTTACAGACCTTTTTTTTTTTTAAACTCCCCTGCAAAGACCCAATCTCCATGGAAATCACAGAGATCATGGAAATCATTTGCCTAAATTAGGCAAATGATTTCATTAGACATTTGACTAAATTAAATGGAAATCATTTCCCTTTTTTAAAAAGGGGATAACAAATCCACATTACATTCAAAGAGAAGGTGATGTACATCAAAGTGTGAATCGTTAAATGACGATTAATTAGGTAGGAAGCATGATACAGGTGAGGTTACATAATAAAATACATACCATAGTATATACATAATTGTACACAAGACAGTAAATTATTTACACAATGCTATGAAGCATGTTTATTTATGGATCAGTCAGTCTATGATTAATGCAGCAAAGTCTGTTTTAAAGAGGGTTTCTGTCGTCC